GGACAGCTGCTCAGGTGTGAATGGAGCCTAACAATGCTGATTGCCATGCCCGATGCAACATCTTCTCATCCCACTGTAGTGCAATCAGGCACAGTTTCACGTACCTGAATGGAGACCCAACTGAGAAAGGGGCTACCCAGGCACCTCTTGTCCCAAACCTCTGGAGGTGGTGACAGGGCATATAAGGACTGGGAGAGGCACAGGCGCCGGTCTTAGTTTCGTGGCAAGATTTCGTAGAGGCGCTCGAGTGCGTTGGACCAGCTGGTGAGTCTGCAGGACCGGGATGACACGGGATCTCTCAGAATTGGATCAGATAGCAGGTTTGGACCCGGAGAAGGACTGGCTGGACCAGGTGGCTCAGAGTACTTGTGGCAAGCCAGGAGCGAAGTTTAGTTTGAAGCCGGGGACAAATACGGGAAGCAGAATCTTGAAATGCCGAATCGCAGATCAGGAGCAAGGTCAGGAATCGTAAGCCAGGGTCATACATGGGAGAGCAGAGGGTTGAGGTACCAAATCGCAAAGAGAAGGCGGAGTCAGTTGTCACAAACCACATTCAAACACAAGAGATCAGAGATGCATAGCACACAGGGACAAGCTGATGACCACTGAGCAACTTGATCTTGGCTTTTGTCCATTAAATAGGGAAAGTGTGTGCGCACATACTCTATGGCGCGTGTACGTTCCCATTTATGCCCAACAACGTGTTTTCCCACAACTTTTAGCATAGTATTGCGTGCACATGTGCGCATGTGTCTTTGAGCAGGGACCAGCTAGCAGGATAAAACAAAAAGGACAGGAGCGCAACTACCAGAAGTGACGTGAATGAATTCGATATTGCCTGATGGATCTATGTGATGAGAAATGTTGGTGGATCTTGGTGTGTGAAATCTGGGTGTATGCAGCAATGTTATGGCAAACAGACTCACGGTTAGAAGCTCCCCCGTGGTCCGTGTGGCGCCCTCCTTTGACGGGTCATGGGTCGAGGAGCCCCGGTGGTGTCCCCAGTGGTGTGAGAGGCTGATCTGTTGGGGGTCCGTGTCCGTGTGGCCGCCCGCGTTCTCGGCTGGCTGGGCCGAGCCGCGTCGGTCAGGAACGGAGAAAAAAGGGGGAGGAGCTGTATCCGGCTAGGGAATGCCGGGTGCGCCGTGTGTCAGTGTTGGTCTCAGAGTCTAAGACTGTCGGGTATCTCCAGTGGCTCCAGTAGCAGGATAAGTCTCTTACACACAGCCTACATGAGAGTGTCAACTCTGCTCTGAACTTAAGAGCAGTGCAGCATTGTTGCCACCACATCACAGGAAGCTGCAAAAAGATGAACTTCACTGGCAGGATCAACAGGTATTTGTGATAGTTTTCCGGAGGAGTAACAGAAAACTATTACTGCAGATGCACTTACTGTATAATTAAGCTCTACAGCACATATTTGTTTTTGTAATGGGAGGCCATAGTTGTACTTTAATCTTTGCTTACCCAGCTGACTGCCATTTATCATTGTAGTATCCACTTCACCTTTTTGCTGTGATCTGGTGATTTATTTGGGGGTGGGCCCTAACCTTTCTATATTTTTGCCATTATTCACCGAAATTGCTATGATTAATGGATAGTGTGGTTGAAAAGGCATAAGTGTTTGAATGCTTTTAACCGCTGCTATCATTGTATGCTTCAATAAAGCTGTCAGTTTTATTTGAACACGATTCAATGTGCTAACAACTAATCCCTTTCATCTGTAATTACCCCAGCGGAACTGGGCATTCGTGCACCTGAGAGTAGATTTCATTCCCGCGAGGTGAGCTGTCTGAGTTTACTTTTCTATTGGACTGTCCCGCAAAACTAAATAACCATTGCAAGTGATGCCGAGAGGTTTGCAATGGAGCCGGGTCAATTAGAGTTCTAGCGCTTAACTTGGCTGTACTGTGAACTCCCAAAGCTATATTCAAAAGGAGAAAAAAAATAAAATAATGTGAACCATAAAAGAAAAGAAGAGAACCACTTCTTCTATTGTCAGCTTCATACGTGGAGGATAATGAGCAGCTGCAGCCTAGTGCCTCAGGAACGCAGCTGTGAAAATCTCCTTCACCTCCATCCTATTTCTATGTATGAATGTAAATGCAGCCTGAGGGAGAACTTTCTATCACTGGGCCACGGTCTGTAGTGCTAATGAATATGGAACACCCTGCATTGATGCTTCTAATTGAACCGTAGCTGTGCAGATTCTATTTTTACGGTATGAGATCACTTGTGCAATACTCTTTAGCACAGTTCTCATCTGACAGGTGTCAGAATGACTTAGCTCACCTGCAGCTGTAGAATGAAGCTGGCCGTACGTGACGGATTGTGATTTCTGCTATTGAGAAAGATCAGACCTTGGGGCGGTCATTGTGCAGTGGATGGCGCAATATGGGCCAGACCCATATGGTGCATTACATGGCACCAGCCTACTATGGCTGTCCCAAAGGTCAAAAAAAGCCATAAAAGCTCAGGGAAAGCATAGACACCACTTTGTAGGTATCCAAGTGTTCCCTGAGCAATACTCTGTAGCATAGGTCTCATCTGACAGGTGTCAGCATGGCTTAGCTCATCTGCAGCTGTAGAATGAAGCTGGCCGTACCTGACGGATTGTGATTGCTACTATTGAGAAAGACCGGCCTTTAGGGTGGTCATTGTGCAGTGGATGGCGCAATATGGGCCAGATCCATATGGTGCATTACATGGCACCAGTTTACTATGGCCATCCAAAAGGCCATAAAAAGCCCTAAAAAGCTCAGGGAAAGCATAGACACAACTTTGTAGGTATCTAAGTTTTCCCTGAGCAATACTCTGTAGCATAGGTCTCATCTGGCAGGTGTCAGCGTGGCTTAGCTCACCTGCAGCTGTAGAATTAAGCTGGCCATATGTGATGGATTGTGATCGATGCTATTGAGAACGATCAGACTTAAGGGTGGTCATTCTGCAGTGGATGGCACAATATGGGCCAGATCCCCATGGTGCATTACATGGCACCAGCTTACCATGGTCGTGCCAAGGCCTTAAAAAAGCACAGGGAACTCTTAGACACTACTTTGTAGGTTGCCAGGTGCTGTCATATTGTGGTTCAGCTTACAGAGTGGCTTCTGTTCTCCTTTGAAAAACGCTTAGGTTTGGACCTCTCCTTCTTTTCTTGTCTTTAATGTGTATGCATATTTTTTTTCCTGGGGCCTTCGTTCTGGCCTGGTGACATCACGAGGCCTCTTTCACAGGCAGTGGACTGAATACTGTGGAGAACGATACCATGATGACTCTGTTCTCTGCAACAATCTCCTGTGAACCCAGGTTGGCTTGTTGACGTGGCCCCAGGGGGAAAGTCCATGACATCCAGGGCTTACAGGAAGAGGCTAAATAACGATGTGTGTCATTCAACCAAGAAGAAGACTGGTGCTGGAGTTGAGCTTTAAATACTTCTATTACACTTTCTTCTTCTGTGCTGTCCATGCCCTTGTCTCATTTCATGTATTTTTATCTGACCTTTTATAATAGATCTTGTGGAGAAGAATATCAAATTGGACACCAGTGATTTTTAAGGGGGCCATAGGGAGCATAAATCTGGGAGTATAGATTTGTAAAGGTACTGTAATGGCAGTGAACACTAATAGTCTCTTGTAATATGTCCTCAGTCCCTAACTGTCTCCTGTGTATTAAAATAATCTTTTATGGACTTTACTTTGGTCCAGCTTCACATTTTTCCAGCTTCGTTCAATGTAAGTACCCGTATTTGATCCCTAGATGGCCACTAGGAATGCTGAAAATCACTGTATTATACAGTGATTGATGGGATCTTCCCGGTGCAGCTCCCTTTCTGCTCACTGAACACAGGGAGCGGCTCATTAGGCATTGGTGCAATTCAGAGAACTCATTTATTTTCGATGAATACAAGGAGTTTTCTGATAGGATGAGGTAGAGATCTAGGCATCATCCGCTCTTCCTCTGTACCTTGTCCAATCAGAGAACACCTTGTATGCAATGAACAAAATACAAGGTGTTCTATGAATGGAGGCAGTGCAGAGTGAGCGACTCCCTGTGTTCAGTGTGCAGAGGGAGATTCATGCCAGAAAGATCACTGCTATCACTGTTTGCAACACAGACTACTACAGTGATTTTCAGCATCCCTAGCAGCCCTGCGAATATCAGACATGGATAATTGAGCTGGCCATACAATAGTAGATTTTTGTATGATCAAAACCTGATGAAGAGTGGGGATGCCTGAAACTGTTGTTCAGTGTACTTACCTATGTAACATTGTTTGCACTGCAGCAGAAAAAAAAATTAATTGTGTGGATTTGCCTTTTGGTTGTGCAGCATCCTTTTCTTGGATACTACATTGCCTGGCCAAAAAAAAGTCACACACTTGCTAATATTTAATTGGACTGTCATTTAGCTTTGATTATGGTACACATTTGATGTGGCATCGTTTCAATTAGCCTATGCAATGTGACAACATTTATTTATGTCCAGAGTTGTGTCCATTTTTCACCAAGTGACATCCAAAGATTCTCAGTGGGGTTAAGGTCTGGATTCTGTGGTGACCAATCCATGTGTGAAAATGATGTCTCATGCTCCCTGAACCACTCTTTTTCATCTTGGAATATGTTCGTGCTATCAGGGAAGAAAAAATCCACTGATGGAAAAACCTGGCCATTCAGTATATTCAGGTAGGCAGCTTTTTGGGGACGTAACGCTGCTGAACCTAGACCTGACCTACTGAAGCAACCCCAGATCATAACACGGCCCAAAATCCAGGTGGTGACTTACGTACGCTACTTCTCATGCTCATATGTTTGCACTGGTTTCTATAAAGGAAGAGGTGGGCGCCATTTATGTTGATGCCTCAGGCGGTTTAGTGATTACGCTTACCACTGCTTGCCCTTTTCAAATGCTGGGCTGACATGAGACTGAAAACAGAAAGATTAAAAATATTGTGTAGCCTTATTCCTACTGCCCATCATTTACGTATGTCCTTTCTCTTCCAGAATGACCTGCACCGTGCCATCCAGAGGACCCATTCTGCCATGTTCAATCAAGTCTTCATCCTTATATGCACCCTTATCTGCCTCATGTTTACGTGGTGAGTATGCAGAGATGTAATTTGCCTGTCGGGTATCTGTATTCGTGAATGCATAGATCTGACTGGTGTTAGCACACTTGTCAATGGCACCTCACTTTCACAGCAGCAAGTCTGTCAGCTACCGTTATCTCTAAAGGGGATCTGTCACTCTGTTTAGTCGATAAAACTGCAAATGAGAAGAGTAGATAGATAGGCCTTTCATTGTTTTTTTTTCACAACAAGAAGACTTTAAAGCCTAATTCTAGGCAGATATTAAACTAATTACAATCCTCCCCTTCCCCAGCAGATAAAAAATTACATTCTAATTTTTCTAGTCATACTTGCCTTAATTCAAGATCCCACAGTCTTCTTCGCTGCCAGTTCCGGTGGTAACACTTGGTCCTCCAAAGTAGCACTTGCTACTGCATAAAAAAAATATACCTGGCAATACTTACCTGTCCTAAAAGAACCACTGCTCCAGTCCCTCAGTAATGGTGTGTCATGTGACCAATGGCAAGGTATTAATTACTTGGTCTGTGCAGAACTAATGTCCAGGCAAATTTGGCCAACCAGCAGTTCTGCATAAGGGCTGTATGGACATGCTTTGGACTTGTGTCAATGGCATCAGTTTGAGATACTTTTTGGGGTATTCAGAAATCATTAACAAGTGTATATGACCTGCAGTTGTTCTCCCTTTAACCTACTTTTGACCTGCAACAAGTAGGTTTTGCATTCCCATAGACTTGTATGGAAATGCAAAACTTGCTTCAAGCAAACAAAAGCCCATTGACATAGGCCCTAAAGACTAAACCTTCCCTTCAACAGGTAAAATGGTGTTACAACTGGCTGCCTGGAACTTAGCCAGTCTACATATGTCCTCTTTCCTCATGACTTGTTATGTCAACAGTCATCAGTTAGCCAAATCAAACCTCCAGGAAGCGACCAAGCAATTTCACACAATTAAATCCATAGCTCTTTCCTGGTGTTCCTGGACAAAAAACAAAGATACCTTACAGCGCACACCTAAGAGGAAAACCCTACTGGTAACACCAGAGAGGACACACATTCTATTATACCTGCTTTACCTATCTACCTTTTGCTGTCATGTTGTTAATTATACTCTACCCTTGCTGGATGACCCAATTTTCATCACTTGTGTATCAGTAAAATACACAGTACAGATTTAAAAATTGTATAGAGACATCTCAGGATCATAGATTGTCTGAAAGCAGAGGTGCCTGACATTTTATACCCCATGGTACTTTTGATAATGTTTTTGTATTTTTAAGAATAACTACACAAAATGGAAAACAGAGCTAATAAAAACTGAAAAGTTGATGATGACAAATTGTTATGTACTTCATACCTATTATTAGGGGTTCTATGTACGCTTCTGTCTATTTGTATTATTTTATTACATTTCTACATATTGATATTTTTTAGGGCTTTGGAAATCAAAGATTAATTTCTCGATTAATCGTTAAAGTTTTTAATCGATTAAAATTATTTTGATCGCTAATGAAAACACTCACCTCTCCGCCGGCTTCCGGGAGTCCCGTCGGCGATCCGGTGACGTCACGGACATCGACGTCACCGGACTCCTCCCCCCTTCTCCAAGTGGCTCCGTCGGCTAACGAAGGGAAGGGGGGAGGAGTCCGGTGATGTTGATGTCCGTGACGGCTAACGAAGGGAAGGGGGAGGAGTCTGGTGACGTCAATGTCCGTGACGTCACTGGACTCCTCCCCCCTTCGTTGGCCGACGGAGCCACTTGGGCCGGTGAGTTTGCCCAAAAAACTTTCTGCATGAGTGCCAGCCAAGGCATTGGCCTATACACATACAGCACAGCAATGAAGTAATAAAATTAACTAGGATCACACTAATCCAGCACGTTATTATTCTGAGTTGCCCCACTTAAGTGGCGACCATATTGAGTGGGGCACGTGAGAATGAGTTAATTTTATTACTTCATTGCTGTGCTGTATGTGTATAGAACAATGTAGTTGGATCTGTATGTGCGTTATAATTAATCGAAATTAATCGATTTAAAAAAAATTCGATTAATCGAACACGAACATTTTAATCATTACCAGCCCTAATATTTTTATAACCTTCTTTCTCTTTATACGTTTACTACCCCTCCAGTGGGGCAGAGATGCCCATTTGTAACAGTATGCATGGTTATCTTCATTACATTGGGTACCTTCAGGGAATGAGATGAGAGGCACTTGATACAGCCGTTTTCTTGCTGCTGTCTACTCGATCAGTTAATCAGACAGGTTAGAAAACTTGCCCAATCTCTCTTGTTACCCCCTCAGATATTGCAAGTTGGTGGCGCTCACCTCCTCTCATCTACCCTCTCCATAGCAACAAACATGACACTTACCTGAGCCAAGCTGACATGTTGTGCACCTGATGGCCAATCCCGGTATCTGAGGGCAGCAGTATTGTGTATATACATTATATACTCTATATGTGAATGCCCTCTGAGGTCTGTAGGTGGCCACATTCTGTCCATGGAGGGAACACCTGACCTGAACATTACCCTTTCACTGCCGCAATATGCACAGTTCCTTTTTTCTCTGCCCCTACTCCTACTTGTATTGGTAATATGAAAGAGGCATTGTGCTTTAACACTCATCTCTAGTCCCTTCCTCTGAATACCCCACTGGAATAATTTATTTTTAAAAATGTAAGCATGCATACCTCTTTCTTGGAGTCTCTTGGCTGGTCATGTGATGAGTGGGGTCCTCTTCTTTCTCTTCTCTATTGCGGCAATCGAAGGTTTTGAATGCTGTAGTTCATAGCTACCTATAAAATCTGGGAAACCGCTATTTTTGGTCAATCTCCTGCCCCCCCATCAGCTCTCACTGCTTCTTTTTGGTGGGGTCTATCACTGCAGAGTCCTGTAATGACATGGAGGTCAGTAGGAGGAACCAACAATTGAGGAGACAGGGACCCCAGGAGATCAACACTTCCAGAAGTGTTGTTTTCCCTGTGGACTTCAGTAGACAGTTTCATAGAGTCAGAACTGCACAACAATGGGAACGGTATTTACTTTTCTTTTTACAGGCATGCCTTTGTTGCTTCAGTTACTTTTTTATAGCAACAGGGTCACTTTCAGCTAGTCCAAGTTGATCATTTGTCACATACCGCCACTGTAGCAGAAGTGACAATATTCTGCTGTCTTATTAGAGGAATCCTACGCTGGGGAAATATGTAACTTTTATAGAAAACGATGAGATTTGCCTATAACTTCAGCTGCCTTTATCTCCAGATCTGCTGATTGTTTTGACATGCGGTTTTCACTCTCGGTGATCTCTGATTATGTATCCCTTGTCATATGCCTGAATTTGTGACAGGTTTACTGCAAGCCATGATATGCTTTTAAGTACCCTGTAAGGGGGTAAAAGAAAAATGACACAACATTTGTTGTAGTCTACAATTGCCGTCCATTGACATGAGCTTTTCTACAGCTGTAGAAGTCACTCAACAGTGCAGCGGATTATTTATTGCTGTGCTGGTTGGCGGCAATATAATGATAGTGAGGTTTTATTCTTGCTCTACCCTTGGGATACAGGCAAACAAACTGCTAAGCTTGAGCTGCCCACCTACTCACATGCATCGAATTATTGTGCTGGGGACGTCAGATTATGAGCTCCACTGGGGCAGAAACAGATACAAATAAAAGAAATACATTCTGGAAAATGCTGTGAAATATTTTGACTTTATATATCACTGGAAGCAAATAAAAAATAAAATACATGTGTTAGTCAAAGTTTACAGCACCATCTACTGGTTGCGGGTGGCACTCCAGCTAAAAACTGTTATTTTCTTTTTTTTCTTTACAAGTAGCCAACATTTGGTCATTTTAAATTTACCAATTACATCGGGCAATGTTTTCCGCAGGACCAGATTTATCATAAGGCACAGTAGGTGGCAGAAGGGTCAGATGATTTTTTTTCCTGTAAAGTTTTCGGGCATTTTTTGCCATCGTCAGTGGAAATACAGTCATCTCATACAAGCTTATTTACACAATTTGCACTTTAGTACAGGGGTAGGCAACCTCGGCCCTCCAGCTGCAGTGAGGCTACAAATCACATGAGCCATTGCAAGACTCTGACAGCCCTATGAGGCATTGCAGAGCTCTTACAGTCCAATGAGGCATTGCAAGGCTCTTACAGCCCCCTTGAGGCATTGCAGAGCTCTTACAGCCCAATGAGGCATTGCAAGGCTCTGACAGCCCCATGAGGCATTGCAGGAATCTTACTGCCCAATGAGGCATTGCAAGGCTCTGACAGCCCCATGAGAGATTGCAAGGCTCTGACAGCCCCTTAGGGCATTGCAAAGCTCTGACAGCCCCTTGGGGCATTGCAAAGCTCTGACAGCTCTATGAGGCATTGCAAGACTGACAGGCCCATGAACCATTGCAAGACTCTGACAGCCCCATAAAAGATTGCAAGACTCTGACAGGCCCATGAGGCAATGCAAGGCTCTGACAGCCCCATGAGAGATTGCAAGGCTTTGACAGCCCCTTGGGCATTGCAAAGCTCTGACAGCCCCTTGGGGCATTGCAAAGCTCTGACAGCCCCATGAACCATTGCAAGACTCTGACAGCCCCATAAAAGATTGCAAGGCTCTGACAGGCCCATGAGGCATTGCAAGGCTCTGACAGCCCCATGAGAGATTGCAAGGCTCTGACAGCCCCTTAGGGCATTGCAAAGCTCTGACAGCCCCTTGGGGCATTGCAAAGCTCTGACAGCCCCATGAGGCATTGCAAGACTGACAGCCCCATGAACCATTGCAAGAATCTGACAGCCCCATGAACCATTGCAAGAATCTGACAGCCCCATAAAAGATTGCAAGGCTCTGACAGGCCCATGATGCATTGCAAGGCTCTGACAGCCCCATGAGGCATTGCAAGACTCTGACAGCCCCATGAACCATTGCAAGACTCTGACAGCCCCATGATGCACTGCAAGAGTCTGACATCCCCATGAGGTATTACCAGGCTCTGACGGCCCCATGAAGCACTACAAGACTTTGACAGCCCCATGCTGGGGGTGTTTGGAGTACTACAGCTCATTCCCTATCTATCTTTGTGCACCTGAGAGGGGCTGTAGCATTCTAGCGCCACCATGGTGGCACGGCCACTTCCTGTTTCCACCAGAGGTCCACGTGACAGTGTGACAACACTGCAGCACAATTGGGAGACAGTTGCCACCTCATGCAAGGATGTGCCTTAATGAAGACATTTAAGGCAGGATCACTTGGGATTCTTTAAATGAAAGCTGCAGATTTGAAATGATTAAAAACAGTTTTTGAAGTTAAATGAACATGATAGTGTTTGAATTAGAGTTTAGTGATTGGGTTTAGATCTAATTTCATCATCTGCTTTCTCTTTAACCTTACTCACGTCCCTTTGTGTGTTAGCCATTCTGGTGTCTACCATGTTTTTTATGATCTATGTCATCTTCTCTCCTTAGTATCTGCGGCATTCAGCACCTGGAGAGAGCGGGCAATAATCTCACCCTCTTTGACTCCTTATACTTCTGCATCGTCACTTTCTCCACCGTGGGCTTTGGTGACGTAACCCCCAAGATATGGCCGTCACAGCTCCTAGTGGTCATCATGATTTGCGTCGCCCTTATTGTGCTACCTATCCAGGTAAGCTGGACTGTTTAATTTGTGTGTCTGGCAACATTAAAAAAAACTTGCAGTACATCCCTGTACATGCTCCTAACATCCTAGATAAGTTCCTAATGACATTGGCACACCCCAAGATCTACAACTCACAGGAGTCCTTTCCCTATGCTAAGTGTATGGGCATGCTTTTGGTAGTCAAGGTGGCAGTCAGGGCCATCCCTATAATTGGGTCATGTTGGGGGGGCTCAAGAACACTTTGTCCAGCTTCCCGCCCAGATCAGTGACATCTCTGGTTGCCAGGAGCTGGGCGTCACACCCTGGCTGGAAACCATTGACGTCAGTAAGCTGGGCGGAATGCCGGACACCACCAAACCCCTCTCCCCAGAGTATCCACGCCCAAGCATCCACCGCAAGCAACCTCCCCAGTAATGAGCATCCACCGCCAACAAATTTCCTTTATTTTTCTGGAAAATAGGTCTATAAATGTATGTGTGGTGGGACAGAGTGAGATGGAGAGTTCTGTAATCCAGTGGATAACTCAGGCTGGGGTGACAACTCCTGCTTTGGATTTCAGTGCAGCAGTAGCAGTGTTGCCAACTCTATATAGGAAGTTAGGAGCCCCTCTGAATTTCATAACATATTGTTCTGTAATTGTATCATTTGTAAAGCAAAAAACATGGACAAATTATCATATTTTGCTGAGATGTACTAATTATTTATTTATTTTTTCCTCAAATATACTAAAGTAATCTGGTGTTACATTTGACCCAAAGTAGTTATGCATATACAGTAATTAAACATGTTGCATATGATTATACATGAGATCAGTCATGCATATAATTAAACATGATTAGGTTTTTCATGTCTCAATTAGTACACTATGCAAAAGGAATTGAACAACATTGGCAATGGCAATGAACTGACAATGGCAATGTTTGTATTCCAGTCAGCAAAAACAGAAAATCATGATAATCATATGATAGACTTTGTAATGCTGGGATGACCTATCCAACGGATCCAGAGTCTGCCAAACGGTGTTGCAAATAAGACAATTCTATTTCACATTATATTAATATTTGTCATTCAAAATCACTGTATGCGAGAAAACAATAGTATTACATTAGAGCTTTTTATTAATGCAACTGCTGTTATTTTAGGGAGGTGGGTTATTTTTTTTGATGGTTTCAATT